GGTACAGCTTGTGTTTCTTTAGTTAATACGATTGATTTTAAATATCGTACAGCCTTCCGATATATATGAACTTCTTCTGGAACATTTTTTATACCAATCTAAGGCTATGTCTTCATTGAAACTTTCTAAAAAGCCTTTAAAGAAATGCATTTAACAACAGATTTACTGAAACCAAAATTTGTTGCGTGTGCGTGTGTATGTTGTATGCCTTACATCACTGAAAGTTGCTAACCCGTAAAAGAAATGAACACTAAAATTACAGTGGAATTCACATAAAATAATTTTCTAGTTAATATCTATAGCCGTATTCGGGTTGATGGTGCCTTAATGGAATTTTAATGAGAATTTCGGCTCCTCACTGTAATTTTTTCTTCTAAAATGAAATAAAGACATTTATTAGAGTCGATAACAGAATGGGACATTTGGTAACGAAAGATATTATCGCTTTGGTGACCTTATTTTTATTGATTATGCCTTATTCATTTTCCTCAGATGTTAACAGACTTTTATAATTGTAATTCTCTGGGTTTATCGATATAGGTATTTTGTTGTTTGAAATTTTATTTATGGTAATATATGTATGTAGATTTACAATACTGGCAATACAAGACTCAAAACGTATATAAAACGTATGTGTATTTGAGAACCAAATTGTTACTAGTATTTTTTTTATATTTTTTTTTTAAAGACAACTCCCGTTTTAATAAAATATTCTGTGTCGCGGGGGACTTCACAAACATACATGAAATGGACACAAAGAACACCCAGACTCAGAACAACAATTTGTAGATCACACAAAGTGTCGTCCCATGTTTGGTTTGAACCCACAACACTCAGCGTGGTGACCGCTTAAACTACTATGCCATCCGTGCAGTCCAATATTTAGTGCAGTTATTAAATATGTGCTTTTATAGAGACAAAATATCTACCACTATTTTTATGAAAAAACAAATAAAATGTTTTAAGCGGATACTAGTAATTCTTCCAGACACCACAAATTTGACAAAATTACTAAACCGTATTGTCGTGATATTTTGGAAGCGTATTTGTACATCTCATCTACACCCAATGTTTACTTTTCTTAATGTAGGAAAGGTTAGCCTCAAATTAATCTTTTTTACGACTTTTTGGGCTTGTCATCAGGCAATAGCCAGAATCAACAAAAAAAATGGAAACGAGATAAAAACTGTGAACAATAAAATTCGCTGAGAGCTAAGAACACAAAGTGTTAAAATAAACTCGGGGTTTGTTAGCAAACCTTTTATCTCATAGCTGCAGACGGTGATCCTCCAACTTGCCAATTCTTTAGAACACTTTAAAGGTTAATTTTGCCACAGAGGAAATATCTATTAAGTTATTCTTATGTATGTTTTCTAATATCAAAAGAAACGCTCTGAAGATGAACAAAGATAAATACATTTAAACGTTTAATTTGAATAAAGAAGGACAGAGAGGAAGAAAGAACTAAAACTTATACTCTACTTCTACTTTACTTTTGTTATCATCAATTTATTAAAAAAATTATATACATATCTCTATATATTTATTTATATGTTTATTCGAATAAAAGAATAGAACATACTACGTGGATTGTAATATGAAATGACAGCAAATTTTAAATAAAATCTATAAAAATACTCTCACGTATTTTATCTGCAGATAAATATTTCATAAAGAAGTTTTACTAGGAGGCTGGAAGAACAATGAAAAATTTCAATAAAATCCACTGAACATAAAGATTGGACCACTTGTCACGCACGTCTCGCCCCCCAAGGGGCCAGCACTCGTAAATTTGACAAGGGAACACGGGATTTCAGTGGCCAATTCCCCAAAAGTTCTTCTGCCAATATTGTTGATGTGACTTCAAAATGCATTTCATTCTATATTCATGCAGTTTATAAAATATATATTTTATTTTTATTTATATTTTACTTAAAATTAAAAATAAATACCAATACTAAGAAATTTGACAACACGAAGTTATGAAAAATACATGTAAACGAACAAATATTTTTCTGTAAATTCCATTCTATATTCCTATTTCCCTACAAGGTAAATATTTGTGAGGATAAACTGATATTAGTATTAAACTTTGCATGCTAATATAAATATTAGGCATATATTTACAAAACAACAGTTGTTTTTGTAAATATATGTACAAGCTATGCTGATGCTGTGCTATGGTTTAGTAAAATAATTCGATTTAAATATTTTTTAATTTATACAAAAAATTTTAACGTATAAAGTGATATTTTTTTACTTCGAATGTTTAAATATATTTTTTGTATTTTTGGGCATAATTCTGTAAAATATAAACAGATTTGCGAAATTCTGTTTTTGCTCGAAATGGGTTTATCCCGAAATGGTCCCATTTAAATTTCATGTAGATCTGATGATGAGTTTCTAAGACAGACAACGGCACTCTTTAAACAATCATAGCAAATCAACCGTGATTGTTGCTAATACTTTAGTGCTATTTTTAGTGGACTTTAGTGTTATTGCTATGTTTGAAGTCGGTTCAACTTTTCTTTGAAAACGATTTTTCTAATTTTGATATAAGAGGCAAATAAGCGAAAGAGTCACTTGATGGTTAGATTTTACCGCCGCCATTGAACACCTGCAGCTGAAAAGACAAAAATACGTTAACGCCCTTTCCGTAACTCAAAAGTTGATAGACGGATAAAAACAACAAAAGATTTGCTTAACACCAATTGCCTGTAAAGCCTTGAAATTACTTCAGTCAAGCTGGCCCATATGTATCGAAATACCGCCATAGAGATTCGGTATGTTGGTAGAAAAAGAAAGAAGATGCCGATTAACATGCGTCTCTCTCGCACCTCTTAGCTGATCTGTTGGCCCTGCCGTCGTCGCTGTTCCACTTCCAGGCAATCCAATACCTTCTCCCCTCTATCTGTATTATCTCTACGAATACCACTCTCCCACCTTATTATCTTTTTAAATCAAATGAAACAAATAAAAAAGAAAAAGTAAATCTTAGGTAAACATAAAACCCCTAAACATGGGAGTATATTTCCATTTGCATTAAACTTTAGCTCATGTTTACGACGAAGATAAACCTGTTATTTGTGAGCAGTTGAAATATTTTATGGTTGTGTATACTTTTTATTATGTGCACTTTCATTATGCAAACGCGTTTTTATATGAATAATGGGAGCGCGCTTTAAATTTACGCCAAATTACTATATAACGCATGCGGAATTGTGAAGCTACCCTATACCAATCATAATTTATAATATTTTACTTTTAAATAATAATAATAAATAAATAATAAATATATTTATTGGTCCAAAGGTGTTACAACAGTAAAACTAGCAGACACAATTGGTATTTACAGTATTATACGCTAAAGTTCTAAAGTTACAAAATATTGTTGTATATTCAAAATTTGAACCATGTCTCTTAAACTAGGCTAAGCCTGTATCTTAAGAGACAGGTTACGGCTCACGGTTAAAGAAGTCAATATCCTCACTTAGGAAACATTTATTAAGTCTCTGCCCTTTATATTTTTGTAAGCTAATTAGCTGAATCATCCAGACACAAAGAAAGACATAAGTAGGGACAAAAACAGTGCAATTTGTTTTTTTTTAACAACAACCAACCAAGTAAATGTCAACATAAAATTGTAAATACTAGTAAGTTATAATCTGTCTCGTTAGATCATAAACTGTCAGAAAATTGTGATCGAAATCATACTGTTTACAATTTTTATCATCAGATCTATAGAAGTTTAGAGAATTCGAAGAATTCAAACCTAATATATCTGTCGGTTCACACTCTTTTAACAGTTTACGATTTCGCTAGATGGTATAAAATCTAACGCGATTTACAATTATCCAGTGTCAAATACATTCGCATGTCTTTAATAAAAAGCTTAACATCATTATATTATAACACTTATTTTTAGATTGTAAACAAACGCTCCGTTTTGTTATCTTTCTTTTTAAAACCATCTTTAGCGAAATTAACTACAACTCGTAAATAGTATCCAAGTTAAAAACAACTTATAGGTTGTTTGGCTTACTAGGGTTTATTAAGTATAAGTAAGTAAGTTTAAAATATTTTTGTTTTGGGTAAAATAAAATATGACATACCACAATAGCAGAATCTGGGTTAGCACTTTAAGAGACACACACTTTATTTATCGTAGTATATCTTTTATTTGTTTTGAAGCTCATAATTAAGAGCATTTGAAGGTAATTGCGTTGTTTATATTTATATGGATATCTAATAACAATATTATTTAACCGCGTGCTCAGAGATATATTAATATAGAGTCTTAAAGAATACTGCCTTTAATAGACGGTTCTTCTTAGAAGTATAATACAGATATCAAAAGACTGCGTTTAACAGAATCGATACTTTTCGCAGTAAAAAGACGGGTCGTATAAAGCAGCATTCACAGTAATGAGCGCATAATAAATAAAAATAATTAATTAATGTTAATATAAGGATACTGGCACTGCAAAGAGAAGGAAAACTTGAAACAAACCCTACCAAGCCGTCTGGTCAGCGTGGTATAGTAGGCCAACCCTTCTTTCTAAGCGGAGGCCAATGTCCAGCAGTGGACTGCTAAAGGCTGTTGATGTGTGATGTAGTAAGGATACGTTTTAAATACTTTTTATTGGCTTTTCTACTAACAAACCATGTAAATATATCTTGGAAGTCATTTTTTACTCTGAAATCTAACTTTCTATGTAGTCACACTAGAAGGATGACGTATTGGGCATGATCTTATGATAGAGTTAGATGGGTAGTTAACTTTGCGAGTCTAATGGTGGTCTGATGATGAAGCGTCAGGAGGTGGAGAAGGGCACTTTTCTTTACTTTAAGTTGTACATTCAGTATAAAAGTGTTTGTTCTGATAGACTCCTTATGTGTTACTTAGAAACGAAAGAAAAACAGGCAAGTAAGAAACCAAGCGTATTCGAGTGCCGATCACCACAATGTCAATACAAGTAGCAGTATTTCTCGTTACAATTATGTTTGTAGTTCTGCAAGATAATGGAACATACTCTTACAAAACTATAGCAGACCTTAAGTCACGGCTTCGAAAACTAGAGAATGAAGAATTTACCCCAACGGATCAATTGGTGGGCAAGGCAATGAACTTTATTAATTCAAATAAAACTATGATGGGCCTTATTGCAGGAGAATTGTGGAATGTAGGTACAAAAGCAATGGATAGAATTGTGGAAGTGAAAACAAGAATGTCAGGTGAGTCTTATAATCTTTTTTCATTTTAAAGTAGCTCCGCTCGCGTTTATGTTGGCAATCATGGTAAAAAGTACCCTATGTACTTTCTCAATAATCAAAGTATATCCATGAAAAATTTCATTAAAATCAGCTCAGCTGTTTAAGCGTGTAAGCGTAACAGACAGATAGAGTTACTTTCGCATTTATAATTTTAGGAGGGATTATTGTGGCATTTTCTCCTTTAATATAATGAATTAGAAGATATTTTTTTTAAATATAAACCTATAGAAAATAAGTATTTTAGATTGTTTGCGCCCGGTCGTTTAATCCTAAACAAGGGAGAACCTAAATAACTTTTTGGTGATCAGCAATGTTGCTGTTGAACACGCTGTTACGAGCGGGGTATACAATAAATAAAAGTTTTCGGTTAATTACTTTTATTCCACTGCATTTACAAACACTCACTATTACAAACAAGAAATTACTATAAGTCTTGTTAGTCGCACTAGAAATGCGTTTCGATGTTAATTTGCTGTGTCGTAAAACAATACTGTCTCGTACGGCCAACACGCTCCGCTTTTATGGTGCTATCGAAATTACTAGACTAATCCCGAAGATCCAATGGAATGTTCCAGACAGAACCACGTACAATAAGGAATCTACAAATATCTATAATCTTCCGATATTCGACACTAGATGGCATTGCAAGCAAGTATAGGAATTAAGAACCATAATATCAATGAGTAGCGTTCGTTATGCCCCACTTGATACTAGATGGAACTGTTCTCGAGACATGTTGTGTCTGACAAGAACCACTCAATCCTAGGGCGCAACAATACTTAAATATTCACAAATATATACAAGATATCGATCAATAACTATTAACAAAGCCAGCTAACAAATAATCGTGCTCATCACTCAATTATTTATACTGAATGGGAATCAAATCCGCGACCTCCAGCTCTGTATTTAAGATTTCTAAACACGAGATGAACAGGCATATCTTTAATTCAGATGCTATTAACTTATTTAGTTTACTTTTTGCAGAGCTATAAAATACTTAGTTCCTTAAATTGGTTATTTGTTGGCAAATATTTATCACTGAGTTATGGCTGGCCCTGACAAGAATTTATGCCAATGACTCATATTTATCTATATGAATTAATCAGCAATTCTTAAAAAATAACGGTCTTCCTTCTTTTAACCGTTCCCGAAATATCTATGCCAAATCTGTGGTTTTCTTTGGTTTTTAAGGTCTATATAGAAACGTTCATCATCATCTCTGTCGATATAAACAATGTCACCTTGCCTTTATAAAAAGCAATTATGAAACCATTATCTGGTATCGAACACAAATATTATTGTGTATCAACTAACACTCACTAAACTTTATTGACAATATGTTCAAATAAAAGCTTGCTTAACGAAGTTTTAGCCATAAATTAAATTTTAATAAGTCGATTCACCAATAACAGCATTTATTACTCTGTTGACAAATATGATAAAATTATGAAAATTATAGAGATACCACTCTATTAGGATCTTTCATCACAACATTTGTTTATCTCTCTATTGACAAATTATAATCTTGCGTCCACTGTGTGAGTCTGCGGCGTCTTCTCCATTACAGTAATTTTTTTGCATGTTTTTTCTTATTAATAGATGTATACTTGATTTGATGTGGTACTCAACGGTGCATAATAAAGTAGGCAACGGTTAATCTACTTCAGAATACAAAGGTTAAAATGTATATGACTACTAATATAATAAAGTCAACAAGTTTCTAAGTTTGTTCTAAGTAGTCAGTTTCGAAAGATTATTTTTGTGTTAGATAAATTGTTAATTGAGGAAGATTATAGGATGTTTACCATTGTTATTAAATGCAGATAAAACTACGGGTAACGAGTAATTTCTAATTGCTTCGATCAAAGAAGAAAATATGATTACTACTGCGATACTATCACTAATTTCTGAAATGTTTTAGGACGTCAAGCAGAGAAGAAGGAGGAGAGAAGAGAAAAGTATAATGAAGAATAAAAAGTGTCATTTTTATCAACGATTGTTATTAAAAAAGAATAGTTATACTCTCGTGTTTTTATTGTATTGTGTTTTATTGTGATCTAATGTCATTATCACCCTACTCTTTTCGGCATTTAATTGGTCTCATGATAATGTGTAATATAGCAAATTATTGTGGCTGGTTGTAATATAATAATACCAAAACACATCTCACACAAGGCCGTCTGATTTCAAACTAGACATAGCCTCTACTATGGTAATCAGACTGCTGATAAACATACTTAAATATTTCAGAATACCTACTTTTTATAGATAAATTACACTCAGTCACAGAAGATTTAATCACGATCATCACTCGATTATTCTTGGTGGGAATCTAACCCATGACCTATGGCTTAGCAGTCAGGGTCACTAACCACAAGACCAGACTAGAGAGATGATTGGAAACACAACTTTGACAAAAAATTAATAACAGTTATTAGAAGAACTTTATTTACAATTATGTAAGTTTTTACCATACGTTTCAGGACATGAAACTCAAAATGACTGATAGTAGACTCACTTCCTCAACAAGGTATACATCAATATTAATGTTACTCAGCAAACTCAATAAATTAATCATTATTTACCTACCGATTCATGGAATGACCATCCCATAGTTAAGATGAAACCTTTTAAAGAACAAATAAAAGAGGTTGTTCCATCAAGTGTCCTTAGATTGAAAAACGTACCGCTTTATTCAATTATATTCGTATATAGAGAAAAAAAGGTATGATTACATAAGAAATGTATAGGCGGAAATCGTGTTTGAGTATTACTTGAGAAGGATAAAAGCTCAGTATATTTTAATGCCCTAATACAAAACTGTGCGCCTTACATTTAAAAAGCGGCGGTAGGCTAGTGGTTAAGGCTAGATAGACTTGCGATCAAGAGGTCGTGGGTTCAAATCCTGACCGACGTGAACCCACTCCTGACACAAGCAATTAAGCTTAGCGGGAGGGGAGCTTAAATTAGTAGTATGCTTGTTCAAAGCATACTACTAATTTCGGTTGCTAGTAGACCTTTAAAAAAAAAAAGAAATAGGTTAGGTAGAATGCTTAGATGAACTTTCATTGTTTTTATTTGTTTAAAATACACATATTATCATTTCATCATCATCATTATCAGCCTATCGCAGTCCACTGCTGGACATAGGCCTCTCCCATTGCATTATTCATTCATATTATTTTTAAGAATCCATTAAATTAAATTTCTTTTGCAAAATTATTATTACAGTACGATATTGTACGAAACCTAAATCAACAACAAAAAACTTAGTAGTTAGGCAACGATCTCTCTAAGCATGTCCAATGATGTGATCTCAAATAAAAGAGGACATTACACATCTATGATAAATGATTGGTGACATGTATGGTGTCCAAAGATTGATTGAATTATTATTATTTAAGTTTAAGACGGCAAAATCATAATGCTTCATACAATCAACAAGACATTATGTACTAATTGCAGTGTTCATGGACGAGGCTTACTTCGAACACAGTCTGTCTAGTAAGTCGCCAGATCAGACGAGGTGTTCAACAAAGTAATGACCAAGATGTTTCTAGTAAAAGTTGATTTTGGTTGGTTGTAGTAGTAGTTGTATTTCTGTGCAGCAGGGTGGGATAGACAAAATGTATCCATTCTCACTTTCACACCATTGTAAAAGTATATTTTAAGCTGAAGTGCTTGAAACAGGCGACAATTAATAGCGGTAATATGACAATTGCTCGTATTTTAAGTCAACGGAAACTTCTAACCGTAGAAGCAATGCTTGTTTGGATGGATGGTGGATGATTTAAATTATCTCTACATAGTATAAAATAAAGTTGTGTTTTTATGTTGTACGCTTAGATCATTTAAAGTGAGCTACGGATTTTAATGCGGTTCTCACCAATAGAGAGAGTGATTCAAGAGCAAGGTTTATATGTATAATACAAGCATATTATATTAGGAAAAATCCGAGAATTTTAAAGATTTGTCTTAAAAAATATGTTTTTATGTCCTTACATATTTTTTTTACCACATTCACACAACGCCATCTAGTCCCAAACTAAGTAGAGCTTGTACTATGGGTACTAGACAACTCATATAAATACATACATACTTTTTTTTGTAAATACATACATATTATGCATAGAATGCATGAATACATTGCAAATGTACAACGGAATTTTACATCTTAAAAAGATCTCCAAAAAAATCTGCAATGGGATATGTCTATCTCCTAAGGATACCCCAAAGTAACCATGGGACCACAGGACCTGTCGGGTAGTACTCGTACGTCTGTCCCGGGGTCCCAGCGGCCAGCAGGATCGGAGCGGGACTATAAATATTGAAGGATAATATAAAGATATCTTGTAGTCTATACAAATAAATAAAATTGGTGTCTGTTTGTAATATTAAAATAACCGCTTTTCACTAAATGCATATGTATGTTTACACGGTACATATGCCAAAATAACATTTTTTACAATTTTTGTCTGTCTGTCTGTTTGTTCCGGGTAATCTATTGAACGCCTGGACCGATTTCGACGGGACTTTCACTGGCAGATAGCTGATGACATAAGGAGTAACTTAGGCTACTTTTTTTAGACTAGCTTCGCCCCGCGGCGTTGCCCGCGTTTCTAACAACAAACGCGGGTAACACCGCGGGTCTCAGCTAGTATAGAATATATCCTGTGTCGCGGGGGACTTTACAAACATACATGAAACGGACACAAAGAACACCCAGACTCAGAACAACAATTTATGGATCACACAAAGCGTAGTAGTGAGCGGCGGACGACGGATAATAATAATTATTAAAAATAATAATTACTATTAAATTACTACATACTGACACCACATTGGTAGTATTCAGAATGGATCGCGAGTAATACTAAAATGAAGGCATGTGTAAATAACGTAAATATTGATAATATTTTCTCTTTATATTCAAAAAAACAATTAAAAAACTTCACAACCACATCAAAAGTTCAAAAAGGCCTAAATTTATAGCTCGTGGAGGCGCCGGGTATCGATCCCGGTACCTCTCGCATGCTAAGCGAGCGCTCTACCATCTGAGCTACGCCCCCATTGAAAGGTTATTCGAATTCTAGGTTCTATTAAAACACTGCACACACATACATAATGACTTACATTTTTCTTTTTTTCTTTTAATCATAATCTATCTATATATACTCGTTGGTTTGTGTGCGCATCAAAAACTCAAAAAGTTATATACCGATTGAGCTCAAACTTTTGACATGATGTACAACCCACTACAAAGATGGTTTTTATTTATTTTTCGCGTTACTTTTGATCCTTATTTCTCATCAACGCAACCACAATGTGTCACAGCGAAGCGTGGCTAGGTACAGCTGGTATTTAATAAATTGTTTGGTTTCATGGCTGGAAACATTTAAAAACAGAGGGATAAAGAATTAGTCCGATTTATTTTGGTAAATTACTTCCAATTTTTGGTCCACTGTGAGTTGTACATTTAAGTTCACTGAAATCGCTTGGGATAGCCTCCAAGATTTCTTAATCGTCTTATTTATGATAAAAATTTAAAAGGACCACTTAGTTTCAGCATTTCAAATTATTTAGTACATAACAATAGTCGAAAGCTGTATAATCTTACATTTATATGTAACTTCCTGAAAAACAATACTACAGAACATTTACTGTATTACAAGTAATAATCTATTTTTCAGACCGAAGTAGATTAATAAACAAATTGTTCGGATTAAGTAGATATAAAATTAGATTTCTTATTTGTATTATGTACATTATTTAAATCAGCCTAGTTAATTTTAGTATTAGTAATTTTCTGATACTTGTTAGCTAGTAACGAGTCGTAAAATAAGAAGCTAATATAGATAATATGTCTATTTAACATTAAATCAGAATCATCCATCATTGTAATGAATCTAATTAATAGTTGGTCTGCCTAGTTCGGGATCTGACGGCCGTGTGTAGGAAGTGTGAGGTATATTATTAGTATTATTATTTTTATACTTAACCTTAACTTAAGCATATCTGTATTTAAAAAAAAAAACATCTACCTAAATTTAAAGTTTGCAGAACTTGTCCCCTTTTTACATTTATGTTTTTTGATGAGATGGAATTTTCCGTGCAAAAAGAGAATGTCCTTAATGAGCTCACTTGAAAACAAAACTTCAGGTACACCGAATATTTCAGCTGAGGGTTATTGCCTTTGATATTTGATGCGTGATGTATTCTGCTGTGTTGTCTGCCTTTGTTTTTGAATTGACTGTTAACATTCAAAGTATTTGTTGATGAGGATTAGTGCTTTGTGTCACTTTGATTACTTTTTAATGTAAAGCCAAGCGTAACGTGTAACCAAAATGTTGGAGTGCTTTCTTATTTATTACAAGGGCTAATAAAACATATCTATAGCGTACACACATATTACTTTTCTCACATAGTATAAAATTATATTTCATTTTTAAACAGTAAGCCAAAACTTAAAAAAAAAATGTTTTTTTTAGGTAAGTATAAAATAATAGGCCAGGTGGAGTGACGATTTGCGCAAGATGGCTGGCAGGAGCTAGATGCGAGAAGCCAAAAATCGATCTAAGTGGCGTGCAATGGGGGAGGCCTATGCCCAGCAGTGCACTGCAATAGGCTTATGATGATGATGATATAATAATATTCATATGTCGCTGTATCGTTGTAAAACCAAGCCTGATAATAGTGTGCAATATATGTACATATATTTTCTTAGTAGCAGTACCTAAACTATTCTAATAATTTCCATTCGATTCCGATCCAGTTCATCAGACCATAATTACTTTATGAAATTTTTAAGAAGCTACCTCTTCTTACATACGAGTATACTTTGATGTTGACTTTAATGGCTGAAGTGAGATAATGTTTAATTTAATAAGCAATTCGTGAGCAATTTTTAAGGTCAGAGTTAAATGATGATTCCCGACCAGCGACTGATCATTTATTAACAAACTAGTTTTAAATATTGTTAAATTGCTCTGGTCATGTTCCACGGCCTGACTGGTAAAACTCGGTCAAGAAATTAGATAAATAATAGGAACATAATATGCCTTAACTATCTGACCGTATAAATTTTCGTCAACAGAATAATATTTTCGACTAATGTAAGTTTAAGAAAAAAATAGCCATTTCTTGCCGCTTTAATAAACGTAATTTAATCGTTAGACAATTCTGGTATACTTCACGATCTACTATGTCTGTACCCCAGACATCGTGTATGACAAGTTGAGTAATCAGTTGAGTAATCAAGGGATGTAATCAAAGTAAGCAAACAAAAACTCAATTTTGCATTTCTCCATAACACGTGCATATTTTGCATATTTTCGCTGTTTTATTTATATTAATTATGTATGTCTGATATTTAAAATATATCAAAACAGTAACTGCAGATAATAGTTTTCATAGCAGCAAGGGATATTAAACTGTATTACATCTGGAACACAGTTTAATATCCCTTTATATAGTCATGTAAATTGTGTGGAAAGGATTTTTTTTTGGGGGCATTTCAATTCCAGTTTTGTTTATATAAAATTTGTTCCGTGTGATATTAAAAATGAAATTGTTGTTATTTTTTCTCATGTTTGTTTATAAATAGAATAACTCGATACTTCGTGTTGATACTTTAAACTCAAACTTCCTAATTCTTCAGGAACTAAACCGTAAACTACGAATAGTTCTCTAATCAAGAACAGGAAGGAGACGGAACATCAGCGAGCTATATAATCCGACACTATTATTTTATTATCAGAAGGCAGCCAAACACATCCAGCAATATGTTGTTCGATACTAAACTTTTCGCAATAGTTACACTTTCAACTCTTATGTTAGTAGAATCTTATAGAGTAAATCAAATGGATAGCGACAAGCAAATGAAACCTCGTAGAGACTACAGACCTAATAAGTGGCTCACAAATAGTGCTATGGATATTTGGTACGGCAATAAAACATTCATTGATATTGTGTGGAGAGAGTTTTCGGATTTAATGTATAAATTGACAGAAAGAGACGGTAAGTGTACTCTTTAAAGTATTAACCTCCTTACGACGTTAGTTGTACTATTGTATATGAGAAGTCCTATAAATCGTGAGAAATAGTAATATTTATCTAAATGAGTCAAACCTTTAAACGAGCAATTCTTGTATATGTATATATCATCCGATTTCGAGATTCTATAAATAATAGATATATATATAATCTGAATCTCGTCAACATCTCCAACGATTTTCATGAAATTTAGTATGTTTCGTTTGCGATTAATCGCTATGTTTATTGCATGTCGCATTTAAAAAACAAAAAAAAAACCAACCAATTTACCTTACCGGTCATCCAGGTACTGTATGATGTAAAAGTGGATAGAAACTAGTCAGTCGTTTTAGTGTGAATTTTGGTATTCAATAAACGTTTTGTTAATATATTTTTATATTCTAGTGTAACATTTTTCTAGTAGCATCATATATTATGTTTTTTATCTTAGTGTTTATTTATTTATTTTGTTTCTCATTATAGACTATTTTCAGATTGGCAAGATTTTTAGTTTTGATATTTCTGATTAAATCCATCCGACTTGGACTTTTAATTCTTATTTTTTGTATATTTTATTAATTTTAAATGATCATTTAAACTATCTATGTAACTGTGGAGGAACTAGTGTCATGTAACTCAAACACAAAGAGAGGATCCTCCGACCAGCCGAGGGTCAACGGTTATATACATACACAGGATCAGCAGTTACTCCCTAGGTCGGTGTGTCTTCGTTAGATAGCGTTGTAGTATGTTTTTTCGTTTCATTGTATGTGGAAGTAGCCACAGTAACATTATTAATATTCAAAACCTTTCATACTGATATATGCGTACCAATGTGTATACACAAATGAATATTATATTATAATACACAATCTCTTGAGAAAAGTGTTTACATCTATGTTAAGGCTTTTGATGTGTTGCTTATGATATAGGTATTAAACATATTACGTCCGTCAGAACAGACGAGTACATATTTATGAAATGAGACGAGATGAAAGCAAATGTTTCAAGAAGGTTCTTAAATTTAATTCAGTGTACATTATGGTACTATACGTTTGAAAAGAGCGTACTCCTTCCTAAGACGCCTGCAACGCGTTTGTGACTCCTGAGTTACAGACGTTCATGGGCGGCGATTGTCACTTTCCATCAGATGAGCCGTCTGCTCGTCTGCCTCCTCTTACATAAAAACTAATAGTAATATAGATTTATTAGAATTTATACGGAGAGCAAGCTTCTGAAAATAAGTGGTTAAAATATTACAAAATATATATTGCAACGTCCTTAAGTAATTGGGTGATATATTAAGCATGATATCATAAAATAATATGAGTGTTATTTGTGTTTCAGACCGATCAATAAATTTCGAAGAATATCATCCGAATGAAGTTCAAGAAACCACGACGCATCCATTTACTGATGAAATTATTAAAGTAGATATTAGACTTAGCAATAGCACCAATGAAACGATGTATACGATATATTATGATCACCCATCAAATTTGACAATGTTTAAGTCCATAACGTAGATTTATAAGCTTGTAATTTATTTTTCAATTACATATTAACTTATTATTTCTAACTACCTGTAAACAAACTTTGCATCTAGTTAATAATAATGTAAAGTATTTAAGAAGCTAGTTCCTGTAAATATTAAAAGCCAGTCGAGATAGGAAAACCATCAATTTATGATCTATGTTGAATTAGTATATGATTTTGTACAAACTATGAAAATATTACATCAGTACTTACTACTTAAAAAATAAGAGGTTATATGTACATATAAATTTAAGGTCTCAATTGTTTTCAATAAATTGTGAATTTACTGAACGCTTTTCTATTGAAATAAATACTACATGCCTTCAAATCAGATATGCTATGTGAGGTTATGTTTACTCTGTGAATCCTAACATGTCTATTAAAATTATTTAGAAAAACGAACTTGTTTATTCATTTCTATTGTCTGAAAAGATATGAAACAAAATATTACTTGTCTAGCTTTTATTTTATAGTTATCATATCTGAACGCTTAATAGTAGTTATTCTTTACTTTTTCAAAACTATGATTAAATTTATAGTATTTAATTAAGACTAGTTTTATTCACGTAAGTGGTTTTAACGAGGATCCCTTTAGATTTGACGACGGAATTATTAGGAAAGGTTTAAAATTCTAACCCAGGTAGGGTCAAAATTAATCAACCAACGAAAATATATTTGTATAATAAGAGTTTACAAATGAATTAGTTTTAGTTAGAGGAATGATAATAACTTAACTGTTTGTAATACTTTGCAAAGCGAGGTAAAGTATGTAAATAAACATCGTTGTAGTACAAATTTGTAGATAGTATAGGAAATAGTAGATTATAGATATATAAGATATATGCGTACGTACATTCACGTCTGAATCTTCAAGAGGTAAACAGATGCATATTAAATACTCACATTTTGCCAACAACAACGTAGTCCCTCGGGCAAACGATTTGGGAATTGAAAATCCGAGTATTGGAAATAGAATGAAAGGGAATGATAGGTAAGAGGGGAAAATCAGGGTCATACACCTGTAATGCGAACTGGCGTGTATCGGGTAGTCCTAGCCCTGTACCATGTTATATATATGACATGTATGTTACGAGTATGAGCAGATTGCATAGAAATAAATAGCTCAAAATTCTCCTTACTGCTGCAACATGCTTACTTTAAGCTTAGTAAACTACAAGGAATCATCTCAAGAAATCTGAAGCAACTTTGTTGAATTCTGCATCGCAGTCTGATTAATGAAAGTGTATAGTAAGGAACCTGCGAGGAAGCGGAATACTCTTTAGGATACAAAGGAAGTAAACTTCTAATGATAATACTAAGATTTCAGGATACTATTAGTCAGTATAATATACAGCTAATACAAGCCAAGAAATCATTTTTGTTAAAGACCATAACCTATATAGTAGGTACACCTTACATAGTAGATTTACAGTAAATATTTTTTTAAGTCTTGTCACATCATCATCACATCAACAGCCTATAATAGTACACTGCTGGACATAGCCCTGTCCTTAGAAAGGAGGTTTTGGCCTACTATACCACGCCAGCCAGACGGGTTGGTATAGGGTTTGTTCCAAGTTTACCTTCTCTTTGCAGTGCTGTTATCCTGCGTAGTCTGCTCCCTTAGTCGGCTCTTACTTATTTAAATATGAATTTGGAGATTGTCAGCTAGATACGTGGAAAATTCACTGTTATATCTTACTTGGTAAGAAAATTTCAAATATAATAAGATATATTAGATAGACTTTATGCTTAGAGGAACTGTTTGACATGATCCCTAGAGCTGCATTCTACGAAAGCACCGCTAGTAATGCTAAAGCAATCCATGGGTGTCGTAAGAGCCGACTAAGGGAAAAAACTACGCAGAACAACAGCAGTGCAGAGGGAAAAAAAACTTGATACAAACCCTTTTTTTTTTTTTTTTTTTTTTTAACGTGTGGAAATCCCCTAGGACCGTCACCCCTCCGGGGTTTGCGGCGGGGTGGTGTGTCGGACTCGGACCGACTAAAACCACACGGTGTGCCACTCTGCGCCTGTAACAGGAGGGATCCGGGAACAGCTGTTGTTAAGACATCCGGACCCCTCCTAGCGCCAGCCCGCTCCTGGTGCGGGCTCCGTCTCAATATATTTTCCTCTCCTTAGGCGACGTCCGGCACACGCGGACGCCGCCCCCTCGCGGCTGGCCAAACTAATGCGGGTGGAGGGGAAACCCACCCCGTCCACCCGCGGCCACACTCAGGGCGGCCCTATACCAACCCGTCTGGATAGCGTGGTATAGTAGGCCAAAACCTACTTTCCAAGGAGAAGCTTATATCCAGCAGTGACTATTAAAGGTTGTTGATGATGATTGATGACCGCTAGTAGGAATTCGCCGTTCTTACTGAGAATTCACCATTGGTCACCTTTGACCCCAAATGCTGTAAAATAAAAAAAAAAAAAAAAAAAAATTTAAACATCGGTCGCAAATCTGGAACATTACAAGATTACAACCAATGACACGCACACCATATACCTGATAAAAGAAATTAGAATGTGCAAGCATTCAATTTTTCTTTTTCTTCTTTTTTTATAAGGCGCGAATAAGCAGACTTTTTTTTTAAAGACAACTCCCGCATTAGGAATATATCCTGTGTCGCGTTGGACTTTACAAACGAACACCCAGACTCAGAACAACAATTTGTGGATTACACAAAGTGTCGTCCTATGTGGGGACGCAGCGACGATAAATGCAGATGTGATTTATATTGACTTTGAAAATCTGCATTTTTGATTCCAAACAGTAGCGGCCGACATTATCACTGCCTCTATAAGACGGTCCCTCCCATGTGAATAGACTCTCATGTGACGGACGAACGTCTCACTCTCATGCAAGGGACTAGGGTACACTGTAGGAAAGAAGTCCCTGAGTACCCCGACAGACCTTGGCCATGATAAGCAGCCACACCAGTCCACCTCCTGAGATTTTGATACCTAGATTTGCCCCTAAAAACTATCTCAGTATCAACTAGAATAAAATTAAAGATTAATACATGTATTGCAAAATATTAGAAATAATGTTAGCAAATTACATGTTGATTATTTCGTCTAAACTTCCTAAATGCCAGGAACTAAATGTGTAAGCAATCGATAATTTTCTCATCCAAAGCCGGAACGAAACGATTCTTGAGTGAGTTATATAAGCCAATGCTGGTAATTCATGCCATAAGGTTCTCAATCTTCATAGAAACATGTTGTTAAATATTAAGTTTATTGTTTCGTTTGCACTCATAACTGGTGTTTTAGAATCAGATTCCTATCGAATATTTCAAAGAGAAAACAATAAAAAAATACAACCGCATAGAGATTATAGGCCTAATAAGTGGCTCGCGAATAGTGCTATGGATATTTGGTACGGGAACAAAACATTCATTGATATAATTTGGCAAGAATTTGCTGATTTAATGTACAAATTGACAGACAGAGCAGGTGAGTTACATACGTCACAAACTATGTATTTCATTTTTATATCACTAGTACAAACTAGTGGCAAGTATCTAATTGAACATTTTAGAATATATTTAATATTATAGATAAAACAATATATAGAGTTTTATACGTTATATATTATATACGTTATATGAATAATTATATAAAATAATATAATTATTCATATAACGTATTATGGACGATTTAGGCTATTTAACTTTTTAGCACTTGTTATTTACATTACTATAACGTCAATCAACAATTCGTTTATATCAGAAAATATTTTTATATGAAACTTGAGATTAAATAAAAATAATATTTTCTCCATTTTTTTATTTATGTTATACGCATACACACATGATACACGAGCTTCTTGTAAAAATATAGTAAAACATACAATTACTTACCACTTAATATTAATTACAATTTTGAGCGTACGTTATAGTAAGCAGGTAATAAAATAATTAGAAAAGTGCATAATATAGAATTAAACTTACTCTTATCTCATGTTGACATTGATAATGTTATTATTAATGGTTTGATCATTTTTGACATTAATAAATGTCGTAATTTTACGTCAACTAGTGACGTATAATTCACCTGATCAGAAAGATACAATTATGAACTACAAATAGAACAAAAACAGAATTTAGCGTCTAGTTCATACATGTTAATACATCATAACCTTACTTATACTTAATAATATATTTAAATTTTATTTTATTTTTTATTTTAATACATTACAAATGCACAAATTTTAACTGTGTAATTCCTGAGTCTTTTATTCCCCGTCTACCTTTGTCAATGATATTTGTAATAAATTTGATACATGCCCTTCATACTATCTTAAGAATAACACTTGTTTAACAAGTAAATATTAAAACTCACAGTTTCTTTGGCGCTAGAAGCGGACAGACGTATATGTGCTTTATTTACAGATAACAGAGAAATACACTGTCTATAGTAAAACTTAAGTTGGATCTACTGACATGACCTTATAAGATAGTGGAGAACTATATCTACCGTACTATAATAGAGCTGTAGCTATAACTTGTTACTTTTGACTTACACTATTCAAAATTTCATATACAGAATACTATAACCTGATTGCGTGAAGAATCAAGAATGTTTTTAAGGGTTCAAACATACTACGAGGTTTATTGACCCAACCTCTGTCATGACAAGTAAAAGTCAAGAAAAAAAGTAAAAAGTCTGTAACTTAAAACACCTATTTAGATCAAAATACAAAAGGTGGCAGACAGGCTGATTTTAACAATTTAATATAATTAAAATAAATTAGAAAAAACATCAGCAATTAAGTGAAACAAAAATATGAAACAAGAATTATTCGAAAAACAAAACAGGAAGACTTTATAAACAAATCATATCAATAAGGTCTATTCTGTTTTTATTAACTACATTATCAATATTCTTACTAACACGTTTATATAAGCTTTAAAATTTGATTGAATACCTAGCTGCAATTTTGATATAGTTAATCTGTTACATACATGGGATTCTTGTATCGTAGGTTTTAGATATATGTTCCAAGAATTGAAAGCATGGCATGAAATTTAAAAAACGAAAGTGCTATTATGATGTTTGTTTTCTTTCTCTGACATGGGATGATTAGGTTCTTGATAAAAGATAACATATTTTACTAAGACGTCATTTAGTAACCCCAGAAGATAGGGTTTCTGAAATTCAAAGCACTAAATTTTAACAAAACAGGGCTAACCTTAAAATCTAGACAAACTTCACTAACCATACCAATTTATACCAATAGGAGAATGACGATATGTAAATTTTTGTATATTTCAGAACGGTCAACTGGAGAATATCAATCAAAGAAGACACAAAAGAATGCAACACTTCCTTTCAGTTATGAATATTCCAAACTTGGGAGCAACAATACAAGTAATGAATCGGAACAGATAACGTCTTCTGGTCGTGCTAGAAGGTTGAAGCATACAGGATTAAGAGATGCTAGGAGAATTCCATTATTTGAATGAGATTGAAAATTACGGAACCTTTTTTATTCTCTCTACGTGAAATTGAGTACTGTTTTAAGTACTTAATGAAGAAAATACTATTGATATTTGTAAAACTTTAATAAATAGCTTTAGACAAAAAATACTTTCGTTTTTGTAGAAAAAATGCTAAACCTAGACAAAGAAACGGAATTTAAATAAATATAGTGTGAAAAAGGGTAACAATGACGTGAATCCTAACCATGGCTTTACCTATGGGCAAGGATACCATGGTATATTTTGAAGTAGTTCTTTCACTGCTTCTCACTGAGCACATGTCTTTACCAAAGGCTAAACCCCCTCTTCAAGCAAAGATCAAAGTCCTTCTGAAAACTATAATTTCTAAATAAATTATTGTTACTATAAATTATATTATTATAATTCCACAAATGTTAATTATATAGTATCTTTGAAATAGCTTAAATTCTGTAGCAGCTCAATATACTGCTCGGGTAAAAATATTCCTAAATAGCACAGAAAGGTAAGAATACAATTTAGTGTGAGTGTGAGTGATTCACTCCCATGCATATTCATCAGACCTGTCATGGTCTGATGAATGAGGAAAATGGACAAAAATCTATGTCAAGATGTTATAATATCTCACGTTTGTAGGTTGCCTTAGCTTTCATTAGATTTTCAAATCAATAGTAGATAAGCAGTGGAAAAACATATTCTATATTTTGTCAACTATAAGTTTAATTCAAAGCAAGCAACGCTATTGCTACCTACCTGGTACGTTTGGTTTCGTGTTAATACCGATATTTTCTTGATAATACATTTTTTTCTATAATTCTTTTTAATAATTTAACTTTTGAAATAGTTAAATTATGAAATTAAATTTAGTTTGCTAAAAAACTAACAAAAACTTACCCCAACTTGGTTCTTCTGGTATGATTTTACAAAATGAATTTATTTATTTAGCGTGTGTTCTTCATAACTCTATAGTTCGGATAAACCAATATTCTCGAATTAGAAACTCTGCTTTTCTGAAAATCACAGGATGGAACAACATTGTTTGTTTCAGTTACCCCGTATTCTCTTGGCTGTTATTAAATATTTTCTGGAAACCTTTGACAAAATATCCAGAAAGTGAGCTAGTAAAATCTTGTATAAGATGGTTTTGTACCTGGAAAGGGGCAATCTTTGAAGTTCTTTAATGGTTTAAGAATATATCCTATAAACGTCACTATTATTGAACTTTAAAATGACGCGAATGCTATATTTAGGCTTAATGATTTATACTTCTGACACCGTTATTGCAAGTGTTATCGTAATGCCTAAAACACGTAATCAGTAGATGTCTTCTCATTACGCTTTTTAATTTATAACTCATCTTAAAACTAGTAAGAAATCCTTAAAAAAACTTTAAAAATAACATGCCCATAATTTATAACTTTTCCGATATATTTAACTACAGAAATTGGTAATTCCAGAAGTCAACCACAACTTAGGAAGCTACTCAACCATGTCTGTAATCAGCCTGCCATAAAAAATACTGAAAACTTGAACTTGAAAATGACTTTGTTTTCACAAGCCGAACGTATAAAACTATAAAAAAAAATGGTTAAACCTTCTTGAAAAGATTCTACAAGTGAAACATATATTTCCATTGATTACAAATTGAAATAAATTAAAAAATAAATTGCATATGTACTTTATACCGTATGGTCTGTTTAAAGTAGGTGCTAAGTCCGAAACACAATAAATAATACTTATATATGAACAGATTTCAATATTTAACATTATTGGAGATTTTTTTCATATCAAAGATGTCTGCCTTATAACTTATTTTGGTCAGTATGAAGCCATATCTAAAAAGTACCTATTTGTCTCTATACTCTAATGGTTTTTGTCTGAGTTAATACTACCCACTACATCAGAAGTGTGACATGTATTGACTCGTTCGACTCAACTCTTTAATAATTAAAGAAGCAGCAAGTCAATACACGTCATACTTTTAATGTAGTCATTATGTTTTTTATCGATTACTTTTAAGTTTTTTGTCACTTTTGCTGTTGTTTTTGGAACGGAGTTCCTCCTTATCGCGCGTTACAAGCTATGAGCGGATGGGAGTGAGACCAAAACTTTGTAACAAGACTTTCTGGCAAGACTTCTTGCAGGAATTTCGTTCTAACCGGAGATCCGTAGACTCCTCAAGCCGTTTTTTTAATCATTTGAATTTTCTCTTGAATGTTTTCTTTTTAGTGTTCCTTTAATTTGTTATTTTCTTTTTAGTGTAAGTTTTGTAACGTTCTAAAAAGACACAGTATTTAAAACTTTATTTACTGTAATATTTTAGAACCTAAGTGCAGTACGATAGATAATATTAACTGTAGTTCAAGTCCAAAACCTCATTTTAACAATAAGATGGTTGATGGTTGGTTGGTTAAGAAGATGGACTTAGATTTTGTCCAGCAACTTGCTGTACTTGATTTGAAAATTTACGACTTTTGAATTTTTCCTTTATCTGTGGTATAACCTTACTTTGGGACTTTATTTATCAGGAATTGACATGGTCTTACGAGCGTCTTCCTTCTATTCCTTTGAGGAATGAAAATCGAAGAAAGAAACATATAACCGAAAATAGAATCTTATCCTTTTTATGAAGTCTGTTAAAAACATTAACATTTAACACTTTTAAAACTTTTAAATTTCTTAGTTTTAAGAAAGTTCAAACAAAGCACTACATTTGCCCTTACTTCTAAGGATTTCCTTTGTTTTCCCTAAGAAACTATTATCAGTTATAGTTTGGTGACAATGAGACCTCCATGAGCCCATACCAAATGTACATTATGTATAGAAGTTTAATTTCAAGCATATGATTGTGTAGTATATTTTACAACAAAGTTTTTGTTTGACTAGACTTTTAAATTAGTTCCAGCTCACATTTAGAATTGAAAATCTTCAAAAATATCTACAATTGTAGACTTCGACATCTAAATGAAAAATTAAAGCTTAGTTATTGGCAACACAATCTTTTTTCCAATCTAAAAAAAAACTATATTTTTAATAAATTTTGAATATACTGCTCCGCATTAAGCTTAGAATGAATTTTCACACCTGGTGTTCATACACAGAGAGATTTTAAATCCACCAAGAGAGGTGGACGGGCACTATTAAAGCTGTGTGTGTATTTTTAGACCAACACAACGAAACGTATGCCTCAACTCACACAAGAGATATAGATAAAGAAACTAAAAAAAATATAAGAATTTACGAGAGAAAAACAAGTTTGAATTTAACTTGAACAACTTAAAAGACGATATCTTTGTCAAGCATTTAAAATTAGGTGATTAGGTTTAAAGATGTCAAGAATTGATAATCTTAAAAAAAAAAACTTTTGATATGAATCAACGTAGTTTAAAAAAAACGGTTGTTTACGTTTCTCGTCGTGACGGATTGATATCCGTGTGGTGATGGATTAAGAATACGAAGTGTCACCACCCCTATTCACCCCGATGGTATTGTAAGAGCCGACTTAAGCAGGCAACTAAGCATGACAACAACACTGCAATGAGAAGGAAAACTTGACACAAACCCTAAACCAGTTCGTCTGGTCAGCGTGGTATAGTAGGCCCAAATCGTCCTTCCTAAGGAGAGGTCTATGTCTAGTAGAGTACTATTATAGGCTGTTGATCAATGACACTAGTTTGGAACTTGTAATGATTCATCATTATCTGGGCCCAACGACAGCATTCTCCTTCGCTTTTAATATCTCAATAAATTAATCTAACAAAAAATACAATGGACATTCTATTATAGTAACCATTACCCTAAAAGGGTCGAGCTTTTCTATTGCTTAATATTTAATAGGTAAATTTACACTTCGAAATCTAATATTCGCAAAGCGTTTTAAATTAGAAGATATTCGGATCTTATACTACTAACTGTTATCAAACAGTGCTAGTTAATGGACATCAATTAGTCAAATTCCTTGCTGCCTCGGGCGTTTCGCAAGGATCCATTATGGGTCCTTTATTGTTTATCTTGTACATAAATTAAATTATCGTTTGCTTTAATAAGCACAACTGTTTGTACTATACCTAAGCTGAGCTATAAAGACTTTAGTTTTAAGAAACTATCAAATCTAGCACTGACTGGTTTCTCGTACCTAGAATTGAAATATTGCCAATTTATTGCGATCATTATTAAATTTAAAAAAAATATCATCGTCTTCAATGTTTTATACGTTATAATGAGCGGTGATAAACTGTATTTTTCATTCCTAAATTTTCTACGGCCTTACCGTAGAAAATTTAGGAATGAAAAATACAGTTAGATAGTATTTTTTCTTCGATCCTCCTACCCTCTCCTCCTATTTCGGAGGGTAGCTCGAACATAAAAACTAATTTTCCAAACTTCCTCCTTTCTTTCGACGTCCGTAAAAAATGACTTAGACCATATATAGCACCGACTTCAAACAGACTAGAGGGACTATTGCTATTTTAATGTTACCTGTTATATTGAGTTTATTTAGCTAGATTTGTATTATTATTTTTTTTACTGCTCTTTGTTACTATTGTTTGTAGTCGGTTCAGCTTTTATTTTTAAAATCATTTATATTTATTTGTAATTAAACTAAACTGTATAGAACTAATTCAATTATACGAGTAATTACTGCATAACTGTTTTTTAAAACCAACCAAAACTTAACTAACTTTAACTAACTACATAAATATAAATTCAAAGAACTGAGGAAAATACACGAAAACAATGATATCTTAAATGAAAACTCTCATGCACCAACGTTTAGTTTCAAGAGCATTATTTAGTACTTACAACCATGCGATGGCTTCTGTAATAACGTTTGATGGTTACTCACTAAGCTCACTATACTTTTAAGATACACTAGAATCTATGGCGCTTTCCTTTTCTTCATTAAAGCAAAAGTCTACTTTACTAGTTTCCTTGAATCATTTTTAATATATTTACTTTACTGCTACGAATTCTTTATAAATCATATAACTCCAACATTACGTACGTATAAATCCAACTTTCTTGTCTTACAAAGACCGACGCTGACCCCCGACTGGAATCAATACGATGTATTTTCGTTCTCAATTTTAGAAATTTACCAATATTTTTGTAACCTTGAACTAGCCTAGATGTTGATTATTTTCGCATAAACTTCCTTATCATTGAGGAAATAAACACGTAAATTGTTAGTAGTTTTCTAATGATAAACAGGAAAGGTTTGATGCTTCAGTCAGGTATATAACACGATGCTAATAATTTTTTGTCAGAAATTAGCGGACAAATCTACCATGTTGTTTAAAACTCCATTTACAGTTGTACATTTAGTTTTAATTATTATTTTTAATGCAGATTCTGTAAGAGCAAGGGGAGGCGGAGAAGAGGCACCACCAAGAAGAGATTATAGACCAACAAAGTGGCTTACGAATAGTGCTATGGATATTTGGTACGGAAACAAAACCTTCATTGACATTATGTGGCGAGAGTTCTCCGATTTCATGTCCAAAATAACTGAAAGAGAAGGTATTTGCTTTATTACTATGATTACAAAATTCACATATATTATGGTATCTAAATAATGGTTTGTCTTACTAAAGATATTAAAATACTTTCCAACAAATTTAGTGTATAAATCCTGGTCAACCTCTACGGTGGCCAGTTTTTGAATTGAGCATAAATATTATTTTATATTAAAAGTTTTGTAGTCACGAGCCACAAAAATCAACAAAATGCGAGAATTCGAATTCTCTCAAATTATTTTTAAAAGTACATGAATAACTAAAGTGTAGAATATATTGTTTTTATTGTTTCAGATCGATCAATAACACTAGAAACATTTGAGTCAAATGAGATTCACGAGAACACGACACAGCTGTTCAATGACGAAATTGTCAGAGTAGATGTAAGGCTTAGTAATAGAAGAACCAATGAGACAATCCATACAATGTCATTTGATCATCCTTTAAACTTTACATTATTAAAATTCTTAAACTAACAATTTTAGCGCTTATATTTTTCAACAAAGTCTAAAGTAAGAAGAGGAATACCAAAGGATTTAGAAAATTATTTTAATGGATGAAATAAAAGTGCAATAAAGTTACTATTTGGAGTTATATCTCTCATTACGAATGTGTTAATAACTTTACAAAAAATATCTAGAAGGATTGGCAAACTTTTAAAGAGAAAATAATGTAATGTTTGGTTGTACATAGTATTGCATTAGTTTTGACCTATCGTTTTGCGTTTGTACATAGTTAATATTATTTTTACTGTAATTATAAGAGATACATTGTACCAATAAATAAAAGTTGGAACCAATCTTTATGTATTTTGTTTTGTAGTGGGATTCTTACTTATGTTTTATTTTCCCTTTCTTTCAAAATGAATAACCTAACCGTATTTTTAATGAATACTGCTCCGATAAGTAATCAAAAATAACGTCTAATATTTTCTTACCTTATTACTTATTTAATGTGGGGCTAGAACAATGACTAAGGCATCTCAAAAGTCGATCCCCCAGCCATTTTTGCCTTTATCTCAATAAAGGCAAAACCTAAGGCAGCTTACTATTTTCACTAGCTATATATTTTATTCCATCCATTGCTACACGTCAAGTAAAGAGGCTTAGGTGCTAGGGAGTTGCCTAATTAAAATAAGACCAAAACTTTAAAATATCAACAATCGTGAAAGTTAACCTAAGCAGAACACAGAGAGACCGTGAATATTGCCATACGCTGGTTAGCGGTGCTCGCTTTTCGACTGCTTATTTTTTTTAAATTTTTAAGTTTAGAAAAATGAATGAATTAAAAGGTAATTTGGTATTTAATTTAAAAAATTAGGTTCTTAGAGCATGCATATGTCAAATTAGTTCACCTCTATAAATCTCTTACCAATGAATCTAACTAATAGCCTTGCGATTTAGGGGCTAAAATACATATTATTGCCTATTAAATCATCTTAATTACTGGATAATTGGTCTAAATATAGTAAGCAATACAATATATTGATTTATAGATTACATGTATGAACGCTCTAGTATCTAGTTTTTCTAGCTATAGCTGCAATACCAGGCGGTATTGTAGTTTACGCCAATATCACTTTCACATATCTTAGCTAAGTGAGTTCAGCCTATTGCTGTCCACTGCTGAACGAATCTCCCTCAAAGAGCACCAACCATCCCGTTCTTGGACAGTCCGCATCACAAGTAGTAGTCGCAAGTTGGATAGTCTAGCCAAGATAGACGTATTCTTGCATGATCTCGATAGTAGCGCCATTCATGGCCACGGGACTCTGGATACACTTAGATAGCTAAGTAGATGCCATCAAGTCTCCGAGTCTTTGATCCAGTTCTGGTCTTTTCTATCTGTTAAGTAGTGCTGCCGTGTAGTTACTATAGATGGTCTAAGTTGAGTTGTCCCAATAGTCTAACTTTGTATCACTCACACTTTCTATTTACTTTCACAGTGGGCGGTTTAGGTATCCTTGTATTCAGAGTTTAAGTGACCTTGGCCATAGCACGTTTCTTCTATGGGGCTCCTTTACATTTTTAATTTTATTTTTGTTTTTCGGTTATCAGAAGTACCGAATTGGTTACAATTCTCAGCTTGAAAAGATCATGATCAAGCTGGTGCTAAGTCATCTTCTCTGTTGTCATCAATGGTATACTAGATCCAATTCTGAAACATCAATTTTAATACAATAAATTCAGACAATGATATGTAATACATTGATTTAGATATTATTAACATGAGCTAGAGTAAGTTTGTTTATTTGCTACACTTTTAAGATTTCATCAACATTATCATCAACAGCCTTTAACAGTCCAAATAGAGATCGCTTGGCGGTTAAATTTGAACCACTTTCAATCTCTTGTTTTATTACTTCGACTATTGTAACTTGCCTGTGAATGGACCTATTTTAGACTTTTGTACCACAATAGGTTAAAATAAATACTGGAATAGATTTATGTAGGCGATTTAATAATATTTTTAATGTTCCACAATGTTCCATAATGAGCCACAAATTGTTGTTCTGAGTTTGGGTGTCCATTGTATCCATTTCATGTATGTTCGTAAAGTCCCCCGCGATACAGAATTTATTCCTAGTGCGGGAGTTGTCTTGAGGAACTCGAGGAAAAAAAAGAAATTTACACCATGCATTGTTTCATAATTTTGGCTTTCTGCTTTTCCTGCTTTGCTTTAAAAACTGTACTCTTCCACAAAATAGAAAAATAACTTAGTATATTACATAAGGTATATATTTTACAGTACATTTTATAATCTATTAAAAACCGTGATATATAAAATAAAGTAATATCTATCTATCTGTTATTTATAATTTTTAATTTTTTTATTTTACTTTCATTCATTTTTATTTATGCTTCCTTTATGAATTTCTATATTTAATGAATAAAATATAGATATTCATATAGGAAGCATTGCATATACTTCAAGAAGTATTAAATTTTAACAAAATTTTTGATCTTGTAATTACTTTTAATATACGAGTACATCATCATCTCAGCCGAACGACGTCCACTGAATGTATCCACTTTTAGCTGATGGAAAAGCTTTCACAGGTTTCCAGAAAATATTGGGGATATGTTATTTGGACGATAAAAATGCTTCCATTGGAAGGTCTAACGATTTAAAAATAGGTTTTTTTTATTTTGCTCGTAGCGAATTATTGAAAATGCAATTTGCCATTTCAAAATACCCGAGCGTGTTAAATCTTATACAGACGGTTCAGCTTGATGTTCCTCTAATACTGGCCGAAAATCTGACGATAATTTTTCAGGGATCTGCCTAGTTTGGTATCGGACAGACATGTGTAAGATGTGTGAGGTCATTAAATAGGATATATGCATGGTACTTTTATAAAGTCATACAAACCGCCTAAATTACTATTACTTGTAGCGCTTTCTGAAGAGACTAATTATGGCAGTGATTCGACTGACGACAGAGTATCTACCTGTTCCATTGGTTTATTCTCTAGCCAGAGATTAAACTGTCAAATTCTGTTGTAGCTTTTTCATCGAAGACACCGTAGAAAAGGATACAGCTTTTCTGCAAACAGGATGGTTCAAAAAATAAGAATTGAGGCATATTAAAAATATACCTCTCGGACTTTTTTTGATGTGAGTACGTTCAAAATATATCGCATTTTTTATGTATTATCTATCGTTTCATACTATCGTTATTTTTATTGGAAATTAATTAATTAAAAGCTAATATTAATTAAAATAAAGCCCTTGCCTTCAAAATAAGAGCCTATCCACTTCATACAAAAATACAATATTTCCCCTTTATAATATTGGTATAGTATGACCAGGCGGGAGGGGGGAGCTTATGTCGGGGAAAGAGTTGGCTAGCCAGTTAATAGTTTTTTAGTGGCATAAATTTTTAAATCTATCATATCTTCTGAAATATTTATTTGATTCATATAGCGTGATGGACCATTTTAATCTGCATTAAACTCCAAGACGAAAACAGCTTCGAAAATAAAGTAATATTTTTAATAAACCACTGCACGGATGGCGTAGTGGTTTAACCGGTCGCCACGCCGCTTCCTACTACTACGCCGAGTGTTGTGGGTTCAAACCCCACATGGGACGACACTTTGTGTGATCCACAAATTGTTGTTCTGAGTCTGGGTGTTCTTTGTGTCCGTTTCATGTATGTTTGTAAAGTCCCCCGCGACACAGGATTTATTCCTAATGCGGGCGTTGTCTTTTTTAATAAAAATAATAATAAAATAATAATAATAAAAATAATTAATATTTTGAACATAAAATTTGTTGTGAGTTAACCGTAGGTGATAGATCTATTATATAATTATCTAGTTATTTAGGTTAATGTATTTCTGTTGTTTTACGCGACGTACGTAAGTATATCTCCCGGAGGGTAAGATTTTTTAGAACCTCGTCAACAATAATACTTCAGTCAATTTACACAAAACCATAATGAATTATGTACCTAAACCTTCCTCAGAAATCATACTATCTACCTATTAGTGAAAGCAGTACAGAAATTCATTTGGTAGTTTTTGAATTTATCGCGTTCAAACAGACAAACAGACGCGGCCAGAGGACTTCATTTTCTAATTTGTAAGTATTTTCTACAGTTGCATCGGAGCAGTATTCCCACGTTCAAATTTTTAACCTTGAACTATCCAAAGTGTTGATTTCGGTGTGTATAAACTTCCTTATGATATACGTAAACGGTTAGTAGTTTTTAAATTGTAAACAGGAAAGTAACCATTTTTCAATAGGCTATAAATAGCAAATGCAATAAATTTACGTCAGTAGGAAGTCAAATATATCAACGAGCATGTTGTTTGGTACTGCATTCATCGTTATGTTTACTTTAATAACTGTTCTCTCAGAATCGAATTCTACACGATTACCCATAGGAGATGGTCACGAAGAAGTGCAACCTCGTAGAGATTATAGACCTACAAAATGGATTACCAACAGTGCTATGGATATTTGGTATGGAAACAGAACCTTTATTGACATTGTATGGCGAGAATTCTCTGATTTTATGTTTAAAATAACAGAGAGAGCAGGTGAGCAATATATATTTTATATTGTATTTACGCTTCACTCTGGAAAAATACTTTGAAAGAGAATACATAGCACAATTATCTAAAGTACATTATTAGTGTATCGGTTACTAATAGTGAACACTGCATTCGAAACTAGAGACGACTGAGGTTAAATACATAGCAATCATTTCCATAATCTTAGTCTTGAAATTAAAAATGTATGCAAATATTAACAATGCTTAAATAAATGCTAAGCATTGTTAATTCCTATTCATCCCGTGGGTGCTGTTCGTGTGGTGACGGATTAAGAATGTCACTACCCCTATTCAGTCCGTGGGTGTCGTAAGAGCCGACTAAGGAAGCAAACTGCGCAGGAAAACAAAGAAAGAAAAGGAAAACTTAACACAAACCCTATACCAAACCGTCTGGCCAGCGCCCGATGCCAGTGCAAAGTAGGCCTAAACATACTTTCTAAGGAGAGGCTTATGTCCTGCAGTGGACTAGTAAAGACTGTTGATGATGTTGATTAGATAAATACACCTTCAAAGACCAAACTGTTGCACCTAAAATGTGAATATCATTACCAACTTTATTATATGCGGTACTTATACGGTACAAAGGTGCATGGCGACCATAATTTGTGCAGCAGAAAGGTAAGCTATAAGTTTTTATGTTAATAATATGGCTACCTAGACGTGGCACAGCCAAATTCAATTTAGTACAAGTTGGAGTAGGGAAGGGCTGTCTACTTTTCCATTGAATAGTTTATACAAATAAACGATGTCGGCAATATTTCGTCAGCGCTCCAGTGAAATAAGTTTGAAATATACTAGTCTAGAATATTCATAGGTCATTAGTTTACAGCTAAGGTTATGAGCGTAGGATAGATGGTACAAAAATTACTTTTGAAGACCTTTTTATCGTGAAATATGTACTACGTATGATGGACTCCATACTTAATAGTATTAGTCAAATAATGATCTCAGATTATAGTTGTAAAGAATTAACGGAATCTCAAAGTCCTTAAAGAACTTAATTTGTCGTATGACAAATCCAGCTAAACGTGCACTCTTGTGTATGATGTTGTCTAAATGATCTCGGAAATCCAATTTATTATCAACCATAACACCCATATCCCGGATGTTCTATACTTCAGTGATTGGAATGTTATTTATATAGTATGTAGTGAAAATTTCAGGTGCAAAATATTTAGATTTGCTTATTGTCATTTCGTTTATGGAGCACCACTGATTCATAGCACTGACGTCACGTTGATTTTGATATTGTTGATAACTTGGTAAATCGTCTGCGAACATGTGGTAACTGAATGTTATGACGGAACAAAGGTCAGGTGGCGCAGTGGTAGCGTATGTTACTGCTGTTCTGAGGTCTCGAGTTCGATTCCCATGTCGGACCAAATATTTGTATGCACTGTAAATATTTTTTTCGGAATTTAGGTGTTTTCTATGTATAATATGTATGTATTTACAAAAAAAAAACACATAAGTGTTCTATCAGTAAATTTTGCTTTCTTAGTACAAGCTCTGCTTAGTTTGAAACTAGATGGCGTTGTGTGTTCGATGTCTGAAATATTATTAATATTATTTTTAAAGACCAAAAATAATATATATCATTAAACACTTTTTTTATGGTACAACTGCCAAACGAGCAGACGGGTCACCTGATGGTAAGTGACTACCATCGCCAATGGACACCTGTAACTCTACGATCACAAGTACGTGGCCTCCTTTTGAATCTTCCTCTAGAATTAGGAGGACAGAAGGTTTAGGGCTCTGGTAACCTCACTCGCCAACTTTGCTTAACACCAGTTTCTTGTGAGGCCGGCCCGGTCGAGCTTGGCCCGATTGTGACGAAGCATGGCTCTCCCACGGTAAAAACTTAACATAAAAGTTTATCAATTGAGCTCAGTTCATTGTCGTTTGAGTTCATTTTCGAATTAAGATATTTATGTAAGTTAGTTTACGTTGTCGATTGGGTTTTGATAAATGTTTTGTTAAACACCACAAGGTACCAAGCTTTGCTAGTACTTTTTTTTATACAATAACAATAAGGATTAATCAGCAAATGTTAGTAATAAGCAAGTTTTTAAGAATGAAATATCCATATTTTTTGTGAGTATAAAACTCCTGTTGTTGTTGTATGAATATATACTGGAAACTTAACTCCGGGTAGCTTTACAAACATACATGAAATGGACACAACCCATTAGGAAGCGGTGGGGTGACCACTTAAACCACTACGCCACCCGTACAGTCAAAAATACTCCACTGGTTGCTGATTTTAGCACATTAGCTTAGAAAAACTCAAAAACCCATGAATTTACAAAAACGTTTCAGTAATGCCTGTCAATAATAAACTACAATCTTAGGTAAAAATCATTTTTTTTATTTTTCAGATCGTTCAATAACACTTGGAGAATATAGATCAAATGAGATTCAGGAAAACAGAACAGGAACAAATCTGTTAAGTGATGACATTGTCAGAGTAGACGTAAGACTTAGTAATAGAAGAACAAATGACACAATACATACAATGTCTTTTGATCATCCGTTAAACTTTTCATTATTTGAATCCATGTAAATAGAAGCAATAGCGTTATAGATAATGTTTTGAAATTATAAGATTGGAAGTTCGAAAGTATTGAAGATAATTTAAGGGTTAAACTAAAATTACTATTTAATGTACTTAATAGTCAGAATAATAAAGAACAGAATGCCAGAGCCATGAATCCCTAGGATTATATTGTATCTACTCCATAGTGCATTTAACTTAGTAAGTAATAATATTGCGATCCAGATATGGGTTTCAGAAGATACTTATTGTTAAAGATTTTCTTATACCAAAAATGTAACAAAACAAATGCAAATTTTATTAAAGAAAAGAGTGTCGCTGAGCTAAACGTTGTTTTATTTGATATTGTTATTTAAAAACACACTTACATACCTATCTATTAAAATGCCGATTGCAAAATATCTTACTCAATTTCTAACACAAAAATATATTTTAATAATTTTATGGAATACCCAATATGTAATGTGTGGTTTAAAATATACCAGAACTGTCTTATCTCGCATACCAGAGCTTTAAAATATCGTACATTTCAAATGTCAACGTAGGTGGCTCTATTATTATTATTTTTTTATTTATTATATATCTGGAATATGTATATGATGATAGCTAAGGAAATATGACTCACTTATAGAGTAGAATATTAAAAATAGTTGACATGTAGTGTAGTTGTTGTTAGTTCATTAAACATATCCAAACAAAGAAATTTAAATTTGCGAATATCGGTTTTTCCGTAACTTGTTATTAGCAGCAGTTAACTGAAATTTATGAATAAACTTTAAGTCAAAAACGTTTACTACATCAATTGTTTAACAAAAACATCTATCTTCTAACATAATTTCAATAATATTATCGTTAGAGTTTTCGAAAACATTGAAATGAACTCGAACACAAGCTCAAAGAAAATTCCTGGAAACTACAGCGATCATAACAACGGAGTGTTTAATTGTTCAACAACGATGATTTGATTACTTTCAGCCTATGTCATAATGACCTAAAAATGTTTTCAAACAAGTAAATATACAAAAAAAAAGAATGGAACCAATGTCTTCATTAACATTGACTAACTAAAAAAACTAGAGATCATCCTTCGGTCTAATTTCTTACTGTTTTGAAAATCGTGTTTTATTTATCTCATTGGCCGAGCCGACTAAAGGAGTAAACTACAGGACAACCCCACTGCAAAGAGAAGGGATACTTGACATAAACCCTATACTAACCCGTCTGACCAGCGTGGTATAGTAGGCCAAAACCTCCTTGCTGAGGAAAGGCCTATGTCCAGCAGTGGACTGAGGTAGGACCCTTAGTTCCTTAGACCTTAGTTCACTAGTGGTAAAGGTTAGCGTTTTGGCGTCAAACTATAATTATGCGTACGGTAGGCACGGACTGTACACTATTGTTTGCCACGGACTTACTAACAGAAACTTACTAAATGAACGGCACTAAAATGAGATGACCATCACTCAAAGCACCGCTCGAAGTGAAATGACCGAATATTTTGATCATTAATATGTACCTTTTTTTTTTTCCGTGCGGAAATCCCCTCGGATACCACCTGTCGGTGGCATGTCGGACTCGAACCGACTAAAACCGCACGCCTTCGCCGGGTACTAATAGCCGGGGAACCAGGTATACCCTAGAAAGGAAGTCCCTGGTGCCCCGACATACCTCGGGTCATCAACAGACGAGTAGACGACCCCCGCCCCGTGTGGGAACCCCATGTTCCCTGTGCTCCCTGGAAGCGAGCGCGCTTCGCAACGCGCTCGCCGCCACCCCGGCCTGCTTCTGCTAGGGTGACAGATGGCCTCACCTGTCACCCCCAGGCCTGCACTTATGGAGGACGGAGGTCGTTCTGCGACCTCCGGCGCCTGAGTCGCCTGCGCTGCCTGGCCCGTGCCCGGGCCTGGCGGGCCGGGAGAGTTCTAAACCTCTCCCGGTCCCGCTCCGCCGTCTCCTTCGCGAGCATAACTTGCTCGCAGAAGGAGACGGCAAAGTTCCACGCACTCTCGCTCCGCACGATAGCCGCAATAAGGCTATCGAGCGAGAGAACTCCCACTCCGATGGCCGCCACGAGGTCTCGCCGCTGCTCAACCCACGCCGGGCACTCTGCCAGCGTGTGGAGAGCCGTGTCCACGGTCTGGCCATCACAGTGGTGGCACTCAGGCGTTGGCTCCTTGCGGATCAGACACAGGTGATCTCCGAAACATCCCTTCCCAGTGATCACCTGCGTCAATCGGTATGAGAGGGTCCCGTGACGCCTCTCGAGCCAATCCTCCATAACGGGTCTTACCGCCGCAATGACGGCGTGCCCGGCGCTCGGTTGCCCGAGTCGTTCCCTCCACTCCAGTATGATGACCTGGCGGAGTTGGGATTTCCGGTCATCGATTTCTCGAATCTCGGGGCATCGACCCAACTCCTGCGCCTCCTTGCGCCACTGATACAGAGCCGCAAGGGTTGTCGCCTCCAGGTCCCACGGTGGAGTTCCGGCCAGGAGACTCGCCGCCTCAAAGGAGATCGTGCGGTACCCCCTTATGATCCTGATGGCCAGCATTCGCTGCGGTCGTCGCAGTATCGCGACGTTGCTGGCCTTCAGGGCCCCCGCCCATACTGGGCACCCGTAAAGGGCCATCGACCGCACAACCCCCGAGTAGAGTCTCCGGCAGGAGTCATCGGGTCTCTTCATGTTGGGCAGCAGCCGCGCCAACGCACGCGCTGCCCCAACCAACTTGGGGACCAGACCTCGGAAATGATATCCGAAGTCCCATCGGCCATCGAGTACGAGCCCCAGATACCTGATCGAGGGCTCGATGCCGATGCGAGTGCCTCCTACCGTGAGGCTAGATCCCTCAGGCGGCTTCCTCCGAAGCCCGTGGAAGAACAGGGCCTCGGACTTGTGCAGAGCCACCTCGAGACCCAGCCGCCGGATACGCTCAACGACTTGGGCAACCCCGGCCGTGGCCCTCAGGGTTGCCTCGTGGTGCGTCCTCGCCTCCCTCGCAGTCGGGGCTCGAGAGCCTCGTCGACTAAGGCCAGGACCCACGCTCGGCCAGGAATGCCATCGGGTCCCGGGGCGGTGTTTTCTGCTTTAAGCCGTAACACCGCCACCCTTAGTTCCACCCCAGTGACCTCAGGCACGTCGTCGTCATCCACGTTAGGCGCCTCAAGCGCCGGAGGCGGAGCCATCTGTGGCGGAGTATGCTCCACCACTCGCGTTGGGAACAGGGAGCCAACGACCCTCTCAAGCAGCTCTGGCTGAAGACACCGTGTGAGCGGCGGGGCCTTGGACACAACGCGCTAGCGAGGGGCATGCGAACGAGATGTCCACGATCGAACTACCCCTCGCCGTCACGAACGTGGCCACGGCCCCCCGGTTTAGGAGAACTAGGCCGAATCTTTCAGCCCAGTTCTCCAATGCCCTGCCCCTCGGGTTCGTGCGCAGGGAACCCCAAGCCTGCGACCAGGCGTTGAAGTCCCCCAGCACAAGAACCGGGTGGGGGCGACAGGCATCGACGACGACGGACAGCTGAGCGAGCCATTGCTCGTACTCAGTTAGGTTTCGGTTCGGCGTGAAATAAGCGGCCACGACCGCTATATCTCCAACTATCGCCGCTACACAGCCCCGTCCCCTTGCAACTACTGCAAGAGGTGGAGTGCCGGCTGCGGTACCGTGCACCAGGGCCGCCGTGCCGTCCAAGTCGGTCTCCCAGGCAGGCCCGAGAAACCGATGGACATATGGCTCGGCGATAGCGGCGATGTTGATGGACCACTGTGCCATGCTCTGGAGCAGAAGATCCTGAGCATCGGCACCGTGGCCTACGTTCACCTGGAGGATGCGGAGATGTGGATCCATCACTGGACTTCCATCCCTGCATCCCGCAGCGAACTTTGCGGCTGTCCAGCGGCACTCTCCGTCTGGATCAGCGGCTCGGAGGCGGAAGGCCGGCTTCGGTCGCGATAGGGCACAGGCCTTACCACCAACCCGGTAGTCGGCAGGCTTGCCCCCCGCTGCGCACCTAAAGCAACGCAGCGGAGCGTTGCAGCCACCCGCCTTGTGACCGGGCTGGCCACAGCGGAAGCATCGGTCACCTACGGTGGCCTCTGCAGTGCACCCCTACGTGACCCACCGACAGGCACCTGAAGCACCTTGCCGGTCGGGCCTGCAGGAGTCGTGCCTGGGCCCTCAGGAAACCTCCGATCAGGAGGCTCCGTCCATCGGCGACCTTCTGGGCCGCCGCGATGGGGCAGCTGACAACCGCTGCCCCTGAAGCATATTGCTCCGGCCTTCAAGCTGTCCAGAGGGCAGCTTCCCGTCTCCGCCACGGCGAGTCTGAGCTCGTCCGCCGTGACAGAGTCGTCCAGGCCCGTAATGCGAACTTCTGCGCATTTAGTGGGTCTGGACACTCGGACGTCAGCTGCATCCAGTGACTCCCTCAGCTTAGCCGCTAGGGCGTCGGCTTTGGGGCCACTGGTAGCGCCGGCGACCTCGAGGAGCCGGGCTCCCGTCCGTGTGTTTTTACACCGGACGCCCGGAATCTCGAGGGCTTTGAGGTCCACGTTGGCCTTGACTTTCGTCAAGACCTCGGCGTACCCCACGCCCCTCTCCGCTGCCTCCGCCGTCAAAGTGATAACGACGGCCGAGGAGCGAGGGTCGCGGAGCTTCCTCGGCGCTCCCTTTGCAGCGGCGGCGGCGTCCCTCCTCGCCTTCTTGGCCGCTTTTTTGGCGGCCTTCCGCCTCTTCTTACTCTCCCCGGCTACCGTCCAGCCCCGTTCCAACGGGCGCTGTGCGGCGTCAGCCACCTTCCCCCTCCCTTTGCCTTCTTCTGGGGCGGGGGCGCTGATGACGGCCCAGCCACCCTAGTTGCTGGCTGGGCTGTTAGGCCCACCTTGGCAGCGGCCGCATATGTCGCCGAGTCGGACTAAGCCCGGCTCCGGCTCCGGGGCGGACAGCGCCAACGGTGCCGAAGGCGCTGGTGTGGCACCAGCGTGGGCACGAGCCTTGGCGAGATCCGCCTCGAGGCGGGCTCTCTCCCTAGCGTGGGCCCTGCTCTCGGCCACAAGGAGTCTGCCCGCCTCGATTATGGAGCGCACGACCGCTACCAGGGCCTCCTGTTGGGGGCCCCCGGCCACACCGGACGTCTGAAGCAAGCAATCGGCCGCGCCGATTGCCTCCTCGATCCGGTCGACGGGGTTGCCGGTTTTGCCTCGCAGCTCAACGAGGTCAGCACCCCCACCCCCGCTCCCCACATCAGTGGTCGACATCTCGGACGCGACCCCCTCCTGTCTTCTCCATCCCAGACCCCCATCTTCGGCTCCTCCCAGCGCCGCGGACTGGACCGCCACCTTCTTCCGGGCCACCATGGCCTTGGGGAGTCGGCCTCCGCTGCGAGCGCCTCTGCGGCTTGTGCCGACTTTGGGAGCCGAGGCTTCATCGCTCGAGGCCGACTCCAATTGCCTCTTCAGGCCCAGGCGAAGCGAGCGCCTATTGCGCTTTGGAGTACCCTTCTGGTGCTGCTCCGCAGCTGAAACCTGGAGGTAGAGTCGGTGTTCGACACTACCTCCAGGTTTTTCGCGTCCTCCGCGATAACGTCGCCGGATTTACTGCTCGGCGACGGGCAGGTTCGACATTTGGTGCTCCCCCCAGAATACGAGTGGGAGCTGCCGGAGCCGTTTGGCTCCGGGAGGGATTCCCCAGACACTGTGTGTCCGGGACCCTCCTGGGTAGATTTAATAATCCTTGGCCTCATGTCATGGTTTTTAGTTTAACGTCCTTCGACGGGGACGCCTTCGGCACTGGACTCCCTCCAGCGACTCAGCCCCTTGCCAGGCGTCAGAGCGTGGGCTTAGAGCATTTTTTATAGAGGTTTACGTCCTCGCGGATCCGAAGATCCACCGGTCCTGTCCATTCAGGATTACGGCTGGGCCGGACGGGGTCTGCACCAGACCGGGTCCGTCCACCCCAGGGTTTTTTATAGAGGTTGCCTTCCTCGTAGCCCTCGAAGAGCCGTTATTCCTGACCGTTGCCAGTCAGGGTTACGACATGGCCGGACGGTGGTCTGCGTCAGACCAGTGTCCCCCACCTCTGGACAGAGCCAGCTGCAGTGGACCCGTCCGCCCCCAGCCCGCTCTCCCCTATGCCCTCTGCCAAACAGAGGGACACGCGGAAAGCAGCCCTCCGAACAGGCCTTGACGGGCCGTTCCCACCTCGGCCGGAATTGGCCGCAGGCGGCAGCGCCTCCCCCACCTAGGGAGAGAGGCGCTGCCGTCTCCGTTGCCCAGGGTGCACCACAAGGAGGTTCCGGACCACGCACCCAATTAATATGTACCTAGTAATAGTTAAAGGCTGTTGGTCTGATACTGTTAATGAATTCATTGGCCAGTTTAACCGGAACTAGCATTATATAGCATTTTGTACCACGCCGGTTTAAAATAAATATTTGTTTTTACCTATTTACCGTGTGGTGACGGAATAAGAATACGTAATGTCACCACCCCTATTCATCCCGTGGGTGTCGTAAGAGCCGACTAAGGGACCAAGCTACGCAGGACAACAGCACTGCAAAGAGAAGGAAAACTTGAAACAAACCCTATACCAACCCGTCCGGCCAGCGTGGTATAGTAGGCCAAAACCTCCTTTCTAAGGAGAGGCCTATGTCCAGCAGTGGACTGTTATAGGCTGTTGATGATGATTGATGAATTTTATATTATAACATAGTGTCTTAAAATTTGAACTATCTGCATAAATCTTTACGTAATAATATAAAAATAGAATAAGCTGCGGGATAATGTACGGAACAATAATCTACGTAACAAACGTATCTTTACGTAACGTTACGTTACGTTCACGTATTCTTTAGATTACAATATAAAATTTATGAAGATATACTATTCCACTAGAAGAAAAATAACCAAACAACTTTGCGATTTGCGAATTTTCCAATATTTGTTAATTTTTGTTATTAATTAATTTTTAATTATTCCATTAGGAAGGCGGTTGGGTATTAAAATACTAAGTCACTCAAATGAATTAATAGTTTTAATAAATAACATATTGATATTAAAAGAGATTGTGAAAATACGTTGGTAAAGTATTTAACAAACATTGACATCTACACAGAAACTAATACTTTTATAAGGCACATGTGTGTGAAATCCAACGAATTTATGCACAGAATCAATCTTTGAACAATTTTCTCAAATAGGGTGCTCATACCTGAAATACATTTTAAGTACACTTTGTATTCTGACAGAAAATTATATCATATAAAACCAAGAAGATACAAACGATAATCTATATTTTTTGTAAGTCGGAGATGAATTTCTTCCATACTTTTCTCTTTTCTTTTTATTAATTTCTTTTTATTTTCTTCTATTAACTATAAAATGTATAACCTCTGTCATTTGAAAGTCCAGTAGTTATTAAATTAGTACTTTTAATTATTTTAAAATGTTACTGCATTATGCTGATCCATGCCTTATCAACTTAAGAACAATACGAATAAACCGTCTCCTATTTCGTAATCGTAAAGAAGAAACAAACATGCTTACAATGAAGTCTTCCACTGTGATTCAGATGTCAATAAATAGCTGTAAGAAACGTACATACATAATGAATTGGTGTAACATAACAGTTATATTAATATTTTCAGTAATTATTATAATGCTACAACAGAATATTGATGGAGTACATTTAAAAGAAAAAGTAGTGGAAAAGAAAGATTATACACCTTCAAAATGGGTTGCAAAAAGTGCTATGGATGTGTGGTATGGGAATCGCAGTATGATAGAGGTTATATCAAATGAGTTAGCTGACCTTATGTATAAATTAACAGCTCGACCAGGTACGTGTAAAGTCATCTTTTACACAAATCTGATGTAAAATCTAAATTGCACTTTAAATCTTAGTATTTCAATAAACATCAAAATACTAAACATAACTTAAATAGATTTTTTTCGATATTAAAGAATACTTATCCGTTTGGTGACAGATTAAAAATACGGTCACGCGCAGTGTCACCATCCCTATTCATCCGGTGGGTATTGTAAGAGCAAACTATGCAGGACGACAGCACTGCAAAAGGAAAACATGAAACAAACCCTATACCAAACCGTCTGGCCACCGTGGTATAGTAGGCCAAAACCTCCTTTTTAAGGAGAGGCCTACGTCCAGCAGTGGACTATTAAAGGCTTGTGATGAAAGAATACTAGCTTGGGTCGTAGTTTTACTCGCGTTAATATCAGCTGTCATAAGAGGTCGTGGTAGTTAGAAAATGTGTGTCTATGTTTTGTGGCAGAGTTGGGTTTAGAAGTCCTTGTTTTTCTTTAGTAGAGAGCTAAAATTTGGGATGAATGTACCTTATAGAAAAATAAATTGTAGGTATAGGTTTAACGTAAAGATAATTTTAGTTTCTACATCATAAAATTATATCGCACGGGTGACACCTTTATCTTACCGTGACTCTACGTTGCTATCTGAAGTGTCTATGTATACTACTTTGAAAAAGACTTCAATAAATATTTATCATCATCAACCCAGCGATAGGTAAGAACCTACTCCAAAATATCTATTAGAACTGTACAATTACTTGTGATTTTTTTACAGTCCGATCAACGCATATGGATGATATCGAGTTGCACATGACGGAAGGTCGTAGAGAAACAGATCTTCAAGATATTAGAATGGAAGTAAGATTTCGTAATCAAAAGAATGAAACATTACACACAGTTACATTTTAATGTGCTCTTAGATGTTATGTAGCAATGAGTTACAATAAATCAACTAATTTTTTATTTTGTTTTTATATCGACTTAATTTACGAGGATCAGGTGAAAAGGCGGAAATTTATTGGGCTGCAAAGTCAGACGTAGAATTCAAATTTAAAATAAATATTTATACTTTACGTCGAATAGGTACATAGTCTTAACATGTTAGTTCTCCATTTCTACTGTTAGTGCCTGTAAATGATACGATACTACGATGATTTTGAATGCACGGATGGCGTAGTGGTTTAAGCGGTGGCCACGTCGCTTCCAACGCCAAGTGTTGTGGGTTCAAACCCCACATGGGACGACACTTTATGTGATCCACAAATTGTTGTTCTGAGTCTGGGTGTTCTTTGTGTCCGTTTCATGTATGTTTCTTAAGTCCCGCGCGACGCGTTATATACTACTAATGCGGGAGTTGTCTTTAAAAAAAAAAAGGACCCATAGTATAAGCTCCGCTTCGGTTGCTCTTGATAGAACTGTGAATACAGCGGAATCGACGGGTTACCATTTCACTAAATTTCAATTTTGGGCATATTTTTCATACTGACTAGTCTGACTAAATTTCTAGTTTTTGCTTGTGATACCCTCGCTAATTATGAACTGATTTCTATTATTCACTACAAATTTCACTTTAAATATTTATTTATAATTGAAAAGTAAGCACTCAACATCCTATGTACTTGCTATTAAATTTAAATGTCCTAAATTTTGTCAACCCACACATGTACATACATCAAAGCGGGACTTGAAACCTTTAATTAGGAAAATCTCCGAGCATTTTTTCTTCTTTTATTTTATAAACCTTCAAAGGGATTATGGCTTGAAGAAGTTTTTTGAGAATGGGGTATTGGTAGCTAGCGCAATTCTCATTTTGGCTGCTAACAAATCATTTTTGTGTCCTCGTGTAGCTTAGGGGAAAGTAGAAGCGTTGGCTTTGATGTTTAAAGAGCCACTTCTTGAGTGATTACACTTCAAACTCGTGATTAGATTCTAGTTAGGGGAGTGAGGAATATCCGATAATAGGAAATGAATTTTAAATTAGGTTCAATTTTAATTTTTTGGTAGATTGGACTAATTACTTTTGTTTCAATAATATTCACAATGCATGTAAATTACACTATAGAGAAATTTATAAATTAAATTAAGTTTTAAATTACTTTATAGCAACAAAGATATATCTGATAGTAATGTGGTTGAATAATTTAGTTAAAACTTTGAATAGATTCAAGAACATATTTTCACTGGATGACGTAGTCCGAAAACCACAAATTCCGCCTCACTGTGACGTAAAAAGCATTCCTGTGTTCCCAACCGAAGAATAGCGGTTAAATATACTTAACGAGCAGCGTGATATAATTTTGTCGTAAAAGTAACATATAAGGAAAACCGTTTGGGATTTTTTAAATTCCAATAAAATAGAATGAACTTTCTTTCAGTTTATTTTTTATAGTGGGACAGTTAGTTCATACACTTAAGTAACACTATGGTGTAACGACTCGACCGGTATGCTACCACGCCCTACAGAAAATCGGTGTTGAGCAATTTTTCTTTCATCGAGTGAGTGACGTAAGCGGAGTCCAAAACCCCCCACCCCTGATTCTGGAGGAGAAGACTCAAAGGGTGGCAACGTTCTTGTGACACTTCTGTCAAACTGTTTACGTAGATATTGTATGTTACTAGCTTTTGCCCGCGGCTCCGCCTCCATATATATCGGTTATCGCGGTAAAAAGTAGCCTATGTTAGTAAATTATAACGTAGATTTAAAATCGGTAAATCGGAAAGAATTTAAAATCGGTTAAGTGGTTTAGGTGTAAAAGCTTAACAAATAAACTCACTTTAACATTTATAATATAAGTATTAAAATTATAAATAAGGATGAAGGTTTTGAATTTGTAACGAACTTCAAAATAATTAATTAAAAGAGGTGTTCCATTGACTTTACCCTTTTTTTCTGTGCAGAAATCCCCACCCACTAGTTGGGTGGTTATGTCGGACTCAAACTAACTAAAAACCGTTCGTCGTCTCGGCCAAAAATACACATTTATAATTTCTTCAATTTCGGTCCTAATCATTTTCGGTCTCAATCAGTCCCTGTGTCCAATACAGAGTGTCACCCCTGTTCCTCCCGTGGGTGTTGTAAGAGCCGACTAAGGAAGCAAACTATATAGGACAACAGCACTGCAAAGAAAATAAAAACTTAAAACAAACCCTATACCATCCAGTCTGGCCAGCGTGGTATAGTTGTCTAAAACCCCCTTTCTAAGGAGAGGCCTAGTCCACTAGTGGACTACTAAAGGCTGTTTATAATGATGATGATCATTTTCGACGAGAAAGAACTATGCAGGACCAGCAAAGTACAAAACAAGGTTTAGGACTGTAAAGATAAAATGATTCATACGTAGTTTTACCAGACCTCTAATTTTCAATAAATAGTAATCAGAACCACATAATAAAAAAAACATTTTTTACCGATCGTAAATATGGATCGTTTATCGAAATGTTACAAAACCCGGGTCAAAATTAAGCAAAATGGTGTTAATTAAGTATAAATTATTTTGGTAATCTTTGCTAGATCAGGATAAGTAACTTTTACACGTAATTGAGAATTACGGAAGAGAATGAAAGAAATAGTAAAGCATAGTATATTCTAGTACAAGACAATAAAAGATCTTATTCTAAAGGCTGTAAAGAGTAGTGTAAGGAAATCGCTGTCAGTTCAGGGAATGAAATAGCTTATTTTTATTTTAGTGTTATTGCGGTATCATTCGAGCCTTGGACCACCTGCGCTTTATAAAACTTTAAAAACATACGTGTCTACAGAAGCGCGTACTTGTTAACTTTACTTTATTTGGTTGCAGTATAGCTTCTAAGCATCAGAACAGCTACGAAACTTGAATCTTATTGTGCCTCTGTATATTTGCGTGATATAATCAAAAAACGATGTATGTTTTGTTAAAATTTCAAATGCTCAATGCTAACATGCATTGGCGATAAGTGCTCTTGACGTAATTGTCGAGCAAAGTCAGTAAATGTGGAGTTCGACGCGATTCTTTCCCGTATTAGTATAAAACAAAGCCGGCTCAGATCGTACTCTTGCAGCTTTGTCCAACGCACTGCGGGATGTAAACCTCGGATATTTGTAGCATCATCTAATGTTACACCGTATCGTTATGTTCCAGGTAAGTTCTCTGCTTGTTAATGCAGTATAGTAGACGTCTGTGAATTAAAAATGTTGTGGAAAATATCTCGCTATTTATTAGTTACTGTATTTTTATTTCATAAAACGCAATGCATAGATGCATTTGCTTAAAAAACATTAGGGACCATGCATTTTGCTAGGATCACAGTGTTTATTACTAAGTTTTGTTAAGATAATTTTTTTTTTTTTTGTCCCAATGCGGTCCCATTCATGGCACGATTGAGCCTCTAATGGTCTTACTAAACGACCTTACTTAGACATCAGACCTTCTTCTAGATATATGCTCTAGCTGCGACACTTGTAGACCTGCTGTATTTGAAAGAAAGCAAAATCTACCTAGAAGTGAATTGATGATAAAGAAAAAGTGCCTTTATTGATTAGATTAATTCTGTTCAGAGGTTCAAATCTGTTTCATATACCTAATTTCTGTACACTTTCTTCGCATGAACTTAGTTCAGTAATTAAGTTAAGTATTGATCGTGGAACACTACAGGGTATAATTTGTATCCAATCACTTTTTTTAATGTAATTAATATATTTTGTCCTTCCAGAGTGTACATACTCAGATTTACTTAGTGACGCGTCAGTTACATGTCACTGAATTACTTATGTTTTTGTACTACGTCGCTAACGGTATTCTGATTTCGATATGAAGTAAAATACAAGGGACATATAAACTGGTTTATATTATACTGGTTTACAGTTTATATATGGAAAATTGTTAAAAGCTTGATAGCAAAATATACATTAATGTAATACGGGGACCTGAAGACGAATTGATAATAAATAATCATTCAATATTACAACGGACAAATCCAATACATAATAAATAACATCTCGGTTCAATACACTAATAAAAAGATTTATTTGAAGAGGCCAAAACTAATTTATCACAATCACGTAGAACGCTCTTGGAGTTGAAGTTTGCCGAAACAAGCGTACTTTACCAGACATTTTTTCTAGAAAGTTCTACCAGAGTTTGTCCTCATAAATCTTAACCGTTTAATCTTCGTATGACATTGAAACTAGGATCGGTTAAGTTGTATTGGCACGTCTGTAAGTTCCTTATAATTTCCTTAATAGGGGTCTTCAAAAACCATTTTAAAATAAATAACACATACTTACTTACTAACACAACCTATCTAGTACCTACTACCTGCTTTGTTTAACCCGGCGGGAGGCGCGCCCCTATTTAGGATACAAACAGTCGCTACTGGGTAAAAGATACCACAATGCAATCATTGAATTTTAGGTATAGTAAGTAGTGAATATAAATTGAAATGAGACAAATATGTGTGTAATAAGTGATAGATTTTAGTAGCTAGTATTTTTCTTTCTTATATCTATGAACTTAGTGACAAAAATTGCTTTAAATTTGTTAATAATATTAAATTAAGATCAACCACAAAACAATAAAATATTTTCTCGCTTATAACATGAAAACATACAACATAACATAACAACTACTTATAAATTTGACTAATTGAAGATACCATAATGTTTTGGTACTCAAGTTTTAGGCAATTGAGAATCACTTTATTTTTGTTTTGTTTTATTAATTTTATAACTTTTTTGAAACGTATACGATATTTTAGTTTCCTGACATATTTCCATGAAAATACTGAGTTACGGGACGATCTTATGTTGAAAAAATGCGCAAAAAATCTTCTATTTTGGAGTCTCGTAAGTCTTTAAAATTGATCAAATATCAATTTTAAAGACTTACGAGACTCCAAAATAGAAGATTTTTTGCGCATTTTTTCGTGCATAG